AAAAAAAAACCAATTCACCAAATGGTAAGCACAGCACTCTGAAAGCTAGGCGGAAATATAAACGAAAACTCAGGGATACCTTTCGGCTCATGGGCGCACCACCAAAAGGGAAAACGAATGTAAAAAAAAAAAAAGAATCCCATCTTTCTTTCGCGCGGCAGGCACCAAGCAAAGGCCCTTATCGCCGCCAATACGTATCACGGGGCACGCCGTCCCCAATCCCAGCGGAATTTCCCGCGCTCATCATACGTGCGCAGACTGCTCCCCGCACTGCCCAAGGGCGTCTCTCGGTCCCGCCAGAAGGACTCATGTTCGTCAGCATCATCAACATCCAAGGACGGGCCCCCCACAGAGACGGATTCTCTGACACGACCTCCGCATCGGAGGCTTCGATGTAGAGATCCGGTCGGCGCCGTTGCGGCGACATGTGTTGACCGCGGATACAAGCCGATTGGATCATCATCACTTTCGGTGCGTACCACTGGCAGCGGCGAGGATGGCGCGTGGCACCATGCACTGCGGTTGCCACACGAACGCGCTGAAGTCGTCAGGCCACCGTCCAATGATGTGTGTGGGAGCAACAGGCTTGACTCACGGTTGGCGCCCGGCCAGAGGGGTACGAAGTTGCACTGACTACTAGTCTCTCTGTATCCATGGCTGGAGCCGTTACTCTCAGATAAGCCTCTAACCGGGTTGCTAAGAGCCAGAGGAGGGCTGAAACCACCCAACGGCAGGGAATCCCAACGGTCCCGCGTCAAGACTCTCGCGCTTGCCGCAAGCGCATCCGAGACTACGCGCGCCCCACTCCTGTTTGTGAATTTACCACCAGCATCTGTCTTCCTTCGGGGCTTTTGTTTCGCAAAGGTTGGCACGGTACTGTACACTAGTTCCAATCCATGCTTGAGAAACTTCCACTGACAAAATCCACCTTCGCCCCACACCAGAGATCCATTTGCGTCACGTAACCAGTGGGTGTCATCGGGTCCTGCTTCCCGCGCTTGGAGGCATTCCTCGCGACAGACTGCAAGCAGAATGTCCTCCGCAAATAGATCCTCCTGCTGGCACCATCGGCTGCCGTCATACCGCATGACCGTCCCACGCACCACAGGGATTTCCTCCCCAGTACCGTTCTCGCGCGTGCAACTGTCTGCGCTGACGACCCACACATCGCCCACTTGAGCTCCCGAAGGTTCGGCAGGATCCAGAAATACTTTTCCTTCCACGATGCACTTCATGCTTTCCTTGGCCAAAGCAGCACGAAATTCTGCCGCACGAGATCCAATAAGATTCACACGCCCTGTCTCATAGTACCAGCATGCCCACTCGACAAATTTTTTAAACTGGTCACCGTCCATAAATCCCCGTAGAGTATCACCCTCCACAAAAGTTATCAGAGATCGTTTTGTAAAAGACTCCTTATCCCTCAGAAGCGGAACAGCGCCTTTGGATTGCACTTCAGCCCCGCTTGTGTATTTTGCAATTCGTGCTCGAAATTCGCGGATGTAGCACATCCACGGGATGTCGGTCAGCTCGACACTAAACTCTAGAGAACGGAATATGATATTGCCACTGATGTTTGCCTCCTCCCAGCTCTCTGTCCTTCCCCCTTCCCGCTCCTCACAGCCGTCTGCTTCGTCACTTGGAATAAGGTTTTTTGAAGTGTCCATGTGCTGATTCTCTGGAGTGGTGTAAATAGTATCCAAACTTTCCGCTACAGAGAGGCTCTCCACGATACCTATGCGGCGCAGCTGTGAGATAAAGGTGTACGCCGCAAGGCACGACAACATCATACGCTGATTCCCACCCACCTTCTTGGACAAAAATAGCCCCATCTTATATGGGCTGTTTTTGGCCTTGTTCTGGGGTAGCGAGGATGGGCATGAGCCCATATCCCCGATGAACCCAATGATGAAGAGATTCAGACCATGTACTTGAACTGTTGTCACTGGGGATCTCATAGATGAGTGCATAGATGTTGCACTCACAGACGCCTGCAGTAGAGTGGGTTCATGCACAAATGCCACAGCACATGGTACAGTGCTAAAAACCCTCCCAGCTCGATAAACAGCGAGTAATTCACTGTCCGTCTCAAAGAGACGTTGACAACTGATGCTCATAAAATGATCATAAATCTCCTTATCAGACGCCTCAGCAGACACTGATGCGGCGTTGTATTGCTCATTTAAGCGTTTGAAACCGATCTGCATCTCCCTGTACACACTTAGAAACAACTTAAATATCGGTGAGTCTGCTGAGGGAAAGTAATCTGGTATGAGTGGCACGAGAACGATTTCTTGCACAGAGCTGGGGGTGCTACGCCTAGACGTGGTACTGGATTGGTACGCGGAGTCTACGAAGAAGAGACCGCGGGTCAATTCGCGCCGAAGGAGTTCTCTACTGGGAGCCAACCCCATTTCCTCAGCTAGTATACTGTGATCGAAGGATAATAAAATACAAAACGTGGTGCGTATGACTACGTGCCTGCACTAGCTACTCAATGGTTCTAAACAAATATATGTATGTGTATATATTAGCACCAACAAGGCTACAACGTAAACCTCTACGTCCACACCGGAAAGCCGTATAAATAATCCAAAAAAATAATAATCAAAAATAGCAGAAACAACAACAACAGGGAAAGGCAAACACAATGGAACACGTTGAGGATGAGGAAACTCCATCATTTCCTCCCACAGCGACTCCCTTACATCTGTGAAATATATAAGTCAGCTCGCCCAAATAATTCTCTATAGTTTGTGGTAGAGCAAAAAAGACAAAAAAAAAACACAGCTTGAAGTGGCGAGGCATGATTTAAGGCGCGTCTTGGGGATTGAGGTGTTTGCATCTTCTCTCTCTCTCTCTCTCTCTCTCTCTCTTGTTTCTTTATTTGCTTGTTTTTGGTTCCACCTTTCAAACAAGAGTGGGTTTTCCGTTCCAACTCCACTGCCGCCGTGGAAAGCAGCGCCGCCAGCAGCGACGGGACCATAACAATTAGGAATCACAAAACAAAAAAAAAAGACTAAAAAAAAAAAACAGCAACAACAACGAAGAATGAAAAACAAACCAAAAAAAAAAATGGCAAACCTCCCCACACTTCTATATATCTACACAAGGAAGCACCTTTGAAAAATATACAATCATGTGTGGTGTATCAGTGCCTCTTTGTTTTTTTTGTTTTTTGTGCATCAGGGGGCTGGGGGAAGCTGGGGCGAAAGTGGAATGGAATGACAGAGGATCCATTACAAGGCCTACTACATCAGCGTGTTTCGCATAGGTAGCAGCCGGTAGTGAATGTCACTATAGAAGGATCCCACGTCTAGGTATTTCACTCTTTCCTATTACTCCTTTCACTTCTTCAATTCTTGTCTGGGTGTGTCACTTTCTCACTGGCTTTGCTTGCCTGCAAGAAGCCCTGCAGCGCCACCATCTGGGCGCATAGCGGGCCGGCAGCAAAGAAGAGATTATCGTCGTCTAGCAGCTCGCGCAACGTGCTCATAAACACCACATTGAAGCGCGGATTGTGGCGCTCAGCCTCGGGTCGAAGCAAAAAGGCGTTTACAACGTCCAGGGCCTCTAGGTACACACTTCGGTCCGTCAGTAGCGTGTCAAGTGACCCGCGAAGGTTGCTGATGGAGAGCTCGAGAGATGCTAATAGACCAGCACTCCCACTACCGCTCTCACCATTTACTTTATTGACTTTATTTCGCTCAATCGTGTCTTTCTTCGGCCCTAAATCCTCTAGATTTCTTGTTGCACTCAGAAGCGGTGGTGGGATGCCAACCGCCCCATTCGCAGTTGCATTGCTAATTAACCTACCACTAACCCCGTTTGATTGGACCGATGACGCGCTTTTCAGTGTTGCATTCCCGCGAGCAGACTCCGCCTGAGACGTTCTGGCGGAAAAATTGGCGCGCGTTTGAGGCACGTTGGGACTAATGCCACGTTCGTGATACACCGATGTGGAGCGTGTCGGCCCACAGACAGGTGGGGATACTGTGCGGGACGGCGCGCTCACTGGGCGTTGCAGTGCCATCAGCGGCGTGGTTTTAGTGGTGATTGCGTTCGTACTGGCGATAGCCGTTGATCTACGCGTTTTTGTTGCTAATACAATAACACTTTCTTTGTTTTTCATCGCAGCAGCGCTTGGCTGCCTTTGTTGCTGTTGTGGTGGTGGTGGACCGCTCTTTGGGACGAAGACAGAGACACCTGCATGCTCGTTGACAATAACATTCTCGTCCCTTGTGGAGTTACGCTGCTCTTTCCACTGTTTTATGTGCTTGCGTATGTCATTCTTTGTCTCCTCGCCTCGTTTGGATCGTATTGTCTTCATCTTGTCCATATGGTTACGGTGAACGTCCTGAGCCAAGCGGTCCCTCTCCTGTTGTCTCCACTTCCGTTCTTCTTGGTCGTGTTTGAGCATGTCCCGTCGTCGCTGCTGCTCCACCTGCTGGTTTGACGAGTATTGTGAAATGTTTGTGAATGATCGCCCGCCATTTCCCCCTCCTCCTGCCGCTGTCCAAGTAGGAGGGTTGTTCACGTTCCGGCCACGACGCTGAGCTTGTGCCTTCGCGAGATTTGACACCGTACGCGGCGATGCTGCGTCACGCTGGGATTGCACAGGCACGAGGTTGGCCCCGGCAGAGGCTGAGCGTGATTGCTGGCCCCCCGGCAAGACGCCCCGCGACCTGCCGCGCGGCGGGCTCGCGTTGAGCCGCTGCAGCTCCTCAAACTGTTCCATTGCGCGGCGGTGCCAGCTCGACGGCAACCTGTGGCGCCCGCTCCGGATTGCCCCATCTTGGTTTTCTGGCAGTTGTTTCTCCCGCGGTTCGTCGCGTCGTGCGTCTGGCAATACGCCACTTTCGTAGTTGTCGGATATATTGGCGCTGGGCGCCGTCGCATGCTGCCCCGTGCGCGGCGACAGTGGCGTGGCGAAGCGCGCTGACGACACCGGGCTGACTTCCTCATGGTCAGGCCGCGGCGCGTTGTCCTTGTCGATGAGCTCCTTGAGTGCCCGCACGACGCTGGCGATGCCGGGTCGCCGCTCCACGTTAGTCTCCATCATCGCCGCGATGAGCGCGCGGGCCTCACTGGAGCGGTGCCTGTAGCTGGTGTGCACGCCGAGCATCTTCACGCCGAGCAGACCGAGGTGCCACACATCACTGGCGCGTGGGTGGTACTTGTTGCTACCTACCACCTCCGGCGGGTACTCACGCTCCACCGCCACGCCGAGCGCCTTGCGGTCGCTCAGCCACTTGAAGTACGACACGCGTGACATGGGCAGCCCGGCGCAGATGCCGCCCGGTATGTTTGCTGCAACGAAGACACGGTCCGGTGAGAGGCCGTAGAAGCAGCAGTTCTTCAGCTTCTGCAGCTGCTCCACGGCCAGTGCGATGGCCAGCATCCACCGCAGCGCTGTTGCCTCGGTCAGCGGGACTTGCAGCACCTCCTCCATATACTCCTCCAGGACGTTCCCAGTGCAGTAGGAGGAAACAAGGTTCAGGAAGGAGCTCTGCAGTACAACGCTGTGCAGCTCTACCATGAATGGAATACTTGCCAGTGAAATAGCCTTGAACATCTCGTGCGTCTCCATCACTTCCGCCGTGTCCCATGATGAAACGTTGATGCGCTTCAGCACGCGCAGCGCCCCGCCAGCCTCTGTGTCCTGCACGAGCATGGTGGCGGAGGTCACGCCGACCCCAAGCACCTTTTTGCGTATCATGTCGCCTGTCGGCTACGTGACGTTATGGCTGAGCCACCTGTACTCTATCTTTTCTTTTCTTTACCTTTCCTACTCTCCAGAGGTACTGTTCCTCTCCCTCTCTCTCTCTCTCTCTNGTGTGTTTGTATCGGCTAAGGCCAGGGGAGTGGAATGGAGCAGAGAACGGCAATAGCGAGGCGGAGGTAGAAAGCACAAAGCGAAGGGCATGACCGAAGCAGCAACACAAAAAGAAAAGCACAACCAAGACACTTCCACTCCTCCGCCCTCTCCCTCGCTCTCCCACAAACAAAACGGACAACAACAACAACAACAACAACAGCCGGACCTCACCCCTCCACTGCTGCTATGTTCATATTGCAGAGGAGGAGGGAAATGATTTTCTTTTTGTTTCTTTTCTTTGGTGCCTCCCCCTCCCCTTTCTTAAACGCCTGGCTCGCCGCACACCCTCCTTCGCCCCCTCCTCGTCTGCGAGGCAACGGAGCACCACGCCAAGAATACACCCCCACCAGCAACGGCAGCACGAACGGGCCAGCAAACGAGGGNGGGGGGGGGGGGGAGAACAAGCCCTTCATCCAACGCGCATCACCTTATCGCCGACAACCAAAAAGTAGTTCGTCATGCCACCAAGCACCTTCTTTAACCCGTGACGGTACAGGTGTCGCTGGAGTGGCAGCGGCACACGGCGCAGGAGTTTCGACGCGTCAATGCCACCTTGCGGAATAAGCGGCATCACCATCCGCGCAATGTCCTCCTGCTCCATCGGCAGCAGCTCCAACTTCGCCCGCTGCACAACCGTCACACTGGGGTCATCCGGGTACGGCCACGTCATGAAATAATCGGGGTAGAGAGCAAGGTGCTCGACCAGTTTGTCCTGCTGCGGCGGAAGGGCATTCTTGACAGACGGTGGCACCAACGACATGACCTCGTCAAGCTCTGCGCACTGCATGAGCGGGAGCGCGTCGTACAACTCACGCACAGCCCAGTCAGCGGTGCTGCCGTCGTCCATCGCCGCGGGAATCTTCAGCACTGGGTCGTCTGGCGAGAGAGCGCTCATCGTGAGGCGCTGGTCCATGATTGTCTCCGCACACTTCTCGAAAGTGGGACGGAACTGGTAGACCTTCATGTTGTCTACCGAGACAACGATCTCCTCCCCATGCAGCCGCAGGAATCGTGGAAAGGAACGATGCTGTGCCTTCACTTCCAACTTTTCCGCATTGGTGAGCAGGGCATATAGTTTTCCCGTCGGCACCACCGCCGCCGCCTTCTCGGATTCCACGCCGTAGTCCTTTCCCTCCGCATACTCATCCACGAGTTTTTTCACCTTGGCGTAGATCGTCGGGAGCGGTGAAGTTAATGCATTCAAGTCGTCCAAAGAGTTGGGCGCGCTGCGGAATGGACGCACACGAAGCTTCGCATCGACAATCTGGAAGTACTCAGGGTACTTCTCAAAGAGGCCAGTGACGCCGAGGCGCGGGTCAAACGAGGGATGCCTCGACACGATATCCGATACGTCCTGCAGCACCGTCGCGATGGGAGTGTAGGCAGCCGGCATGCGCGGCACAATAAAATGAATCAAATTTGCCTCAGAGTTTCGCGGTGGTCTGCGCCCACGCGCCAGTTGGCTCATCATATCGCTGCTGTTGAGCCCTGTCGTGTAACGGGCGTCAGCGATGCCGCGTTTTGGGTGGGTGAAGTCGGGGCGCAGGCGTATCTCTGTGTTCCCGTGATGCGCTCGAATGTCAATGTAGTGCCGGAAGCGCTTGATGTAGAACAGGAAGCTGCTGTCAGCGAACTGTTTTCTGATCTCCATCGGCAGCTGATCGGCCACCATCTGCGAGTTAACAAAGAAGGTCGGGACAAATTCCACCAATGCATCGAGGACCTCCAGCTGTGTCTTGGCTCCACCAGATGCCTGTGAGGGTCGTACTGCTGCTGCTGCTGCTGCTAATCGACCCGCAGCGACAGGCGGCGGCGGCGGTGGTGGAGGCATTGACATTGAGATTCCTTCTTTCCCCCGCGTCCCTCCGCCATCTACAACGAGTGCTCGACGAGAGAGTTCGGTTCCCTTGACGATAACATCCCCTGACAGGTGACGCCTCACATAAGCTAACGGGCTTCCCTCGCGCTGCATCTCCTCCCGCGCCGCTGTCGGGAGTAAGTGGACAATGTCGCGGAGGGGAACTGTTGCGCCGCCCACCGGAATGAGAGGCATCAGTAGCGCGCGGATTTCCCATGGGGCGTACCGAGCATTTGGTGGTGATGGTGCCGCAGCCACACGGTGTCTGCCACGCTCCTCATCAGGAGTGGCAGCAGCAGCAGCAGCATCACCATCACCAGTTGCCGGCTCGGCAGGGGGTCCATTCGTGACAGCTGTAGCATCAGCCGCCGTGCCACCCTTCACCTGCGGCACAAGCTTGCGGTCACTCTCCGAGAGGAACGGCGCCGACATGGATGAGGAGAACGACGTCGTGGAGTTGGAAGCGATTGAGGACGCCGCTGAGTCAAAGTGCCCCCGGCTGGCCATTACGGCGGGGCGCAAATGGTGCGAGCCGGCGGCGGCGGCCATCAACGGGACCATGCGCCTCAAAGGCCAGAAGCGCAGCAAAGTCTCACGGCGCATGTTCGCCAGGAGCCCACCACCACCACCACCACCGACACTTTCCTATTTCGTGTCCACACACGCTTCTTCTTAGAATGGCTCGCGGAGCCAGGTAGAGAGGGGATGTAGAAGAGAGGGGAGAACGAAGGATGATGACGGCGCTGGCGGCGTGTGCTGTTACACGTAAATGCAGAAGGAGGACGAACTCCTCACAACACCACATGCAGGGATGTCTGTGGGGGCGAGGCGATAAAGTACTGCTGCATCGAAGCAGACCGAAAGCCTCGAGGCGAGTATACTTCGGGCATTCGTATATGCAAATGCTAAAGAACGAAAAAAAAAACACTCACAGAGCCCGTGTAAACAATAACATTCTCACATACACATCTCTTCACAGACGCATGCACGCAAACTAACAGGAACTAATTCGTTCCCAAGTTAATACCGTTCTCGCTAATAGCCTCTCATCCCGAAGGATCTGGGTTGCTGTGTAGAGTTTCAGCACCGCGGCGTCACCCACATGCCTACCCCCGCCCACCTCGAAGTAGTATTTCTGGGACCCCCGTGTAAGGTTCGGGCACAAGCTACCACTGGGGCAATGAACAACAACGTTGCCCCCCGCCTTGGCCTGGTACCACCTGCCAAAGCTCGCCGTGTAGGAGCTGTACGCCTCGACAAGCTCCTCCTTCGTTGCCCGCTCCACAAAATCTGGGCGCACATTGCGCCGATTTATTGGTGCAAGCTGAAGCGTGAACAGCCCGTCGGGGAAGTACGCGAGCAGACCGCGCACTTCGCTGCCCCACGGGTACGCCACCTTGCCGTCGGCCGTCATCATCTCCACCTTCATCACACGCCACACACCAAGGAGACTCCGTGCCACGCCTTCGCCATCCTCCTTAAACAGCAGCTGCTGGTTTTTATTCTCCAACAGTGGTACATCAGCCTCCTCGTCGCTTACGTGGACAAAGTTACTAAAGCGACTCGTCAACACATCCAATGTGGCGCGGCTCACGCCCACTGGCTTCGGAATCACCGCCCATTCCGCTGTGTACTCCCGCTTGAAATACCTCGTATCGTTGCCGTCGAGTCTTGGCCGGAAGGGGGCGGGGATGGACTTTTTCTCCAGAGCCTCCCAGTCGATCGGTGCAAAGTACGGGTGTGCCTTAATGCTCTCCGGGTCGCTAAGCCTAAGGCTCGTCGGTCGCTGCAGTAGCTGCTGAATCAGCGATGTCGCCTCGGGTGTGAAGCAGGGGGCGGTGAAGTCCAGCGGACGGTATAATATATTGTCATAGACCTCCTTGTTATTGGCGGCGTGAAACGGCGGTTTACCAAATAACATTTCATACAACATCACACCAACACTCCACCAATCCAATGCTTTTGTTTGACTCTCACCTTGAATCGTCTCGGGGGCAAGGTACTCCGCACTGCCAACGAAGCTGCAGCGGCGATGGCGAGAGAAGTTTGTCCTGGCGAGCCCAAAGTCTGTCAATTTGAGATGGCCGTCCGCGCCCAAGACGATGTTCTCCAGCTTTACATCCCGGTGGACGATGTCGTAGCGGTGCAGGTGCTGTAGTGCCAGCACGATCTCCGCAATGTACAATCGAACGTCCTCGGGGCCGAGCGTGCACTTCGGGTACACGTGTGAATACAGTTCCCCACCCGGGAGGTAGTCGAGCACAAAGAAGAGATGATAGTCGGTTTGAAAGGCAAAGTGGCACTTCACAACATACGGGTGAGGTGGAAGAGTTGCCATAATATTCTTTTCCTCCTTGATGTACTCAATCATGCGACGCTTGTGTATAATGCATTTGTTCAGGACCTTCATTGCATACACCTTGCCGTCCTCGCGGAAGATGACCTTTATCACTTTCCCAAACGTACCACGACCAAGTGTCGTGACGAGCTCAAAGTCCTTCAGGGAAACATCTGTCCGAAGGAGACCCGTTCCGTCAAGGCACAACGGCGCGAGAGGAGATTCACAAACAGTTGACGCAGCAGGCGTCTCGGTATCCTTGGGCGGTACAACTGACGTGGGCGAGCCAGGACCTTTTTCCATTCGCTTCTTTTGTTGATGTCGCTCGTAGTTCTCGTAGCACTGCATGCATGCCTTGACCTTGCCTCCATCTTCTAGTTCCATGCGGCGCAGACAGTTACGGCAAAACTGCTGCTTACACGAAAAGCATCTGTGTGGGTACAGCACAGACGAAAACTCTGCATTGCACTGCAGGCACAAACGGGAAGGTGTCGGCAAACGCACATCCTCAGCATCTGTGTCTCCGTTCGACGGTGCATCGTCCCCGTCGTCGGTAATGCTTGCAGCAGCTGCAGCTAAAGAAGACCGCGGGCTTGTTGAATTCACTTTTTCCGATACACCGCTCGCCGTTGTGTGCATCGAGTTCGTATCTTTGTTGTTGTTGTTGATGCCACTACTACCTACAACCGGCTGCGGCAGCTCTTCAATGGGCGTGGTAACGCCGTTCTCACCTTTATTCTCCCCTTCTTTTTCTTGCTGCAGCTGGGGCGGCATCGCAAAACCGATGAGAGGCTGTATGATATTGGCCTTGTACCGCACCGGCACCTCACCGTCATGCAGGAAGTCATACAACACTGTCCTGGCGACGTAGAACAAGTTGCGCGGCACCAGCAGCTGCTCGAGGTAGATCTCTAGGTAGCGCCGCCGTTTCTCCACCAGGTCAACGGATTGGTTCGTGACCTCTGTCCAGTGGCTACCGGCCAGCACAGGGAGCACGCCGTACTCGCAGTGATGCTGCGAGCTCATCGGGCACAGCTGCTTCAGCTTCTGGTCAAGCGTCTTGAACTGCTGGTAGCGCCGGAACACCTGCCAAGTTGCGTTGCGTTTGGTGCACTCAATGACGTACTCGACGAAACTCCCGCGCACTCGGTATTTTGGAACGGCCACGGATGTGATGTTGCTGGTGGCGGCCACTCCACGCAGCGCCCTCAGCTCGCTGGGCGTAATCTCGTGCTTCTCGCGCCGCTGCCCATCCCGACCGAACAGCTTTGACATCATCTTGCCGGAGCGGGCAGCTGGCCCCCGGTCGCAATTCCTGTTGCGGAAACACCTGTGGGATGCGCCTCTCAACTCCCGGTGCGAAATCGGATGAGCAAACGGGCAGATAGCGAGCGAAGGAGAAAAGAAAACGAAGAAACAAAAACAACGAGAAATAACGAAGGACAATGAACACCATTGCAATGCGGCAGGACTGCGATAAAGACCATTCCAGTGCGTGGCAACTACACTCCACACAAACTGCAACCTACGAAGCGGCCCACAGGCGCGCACCGTCTCTCTCTCTCTCTCCTTCGCATCACGTAGAATGTAGGCGACAGCCTGAGTTGGAGTGGGTATACAACAGAAGGAGAGAGATCATAAAGAGGTGAAGTGTATTCATGTATGTATAAAGAGCGCGCGTATGAAGAGAGACAACGAAAGGGAAAGCACCTCGATCTGTTGATGTGAAACCCATCGGATCCCCGCCAATCACGCAGAAATACACAGGAACAGATAGGTATAAAGTGTGCATGGACGTGCGTTGCTTTATCTCACATCCAGCGTTATATCTGAGCCTTGTGCATGGAGCAGCCATGCGGATAACCGGCGAACGGCTGCCAGACGCACATGGCCGTGCCGCACAGCTGCGCGCCACAAATGGTACACGTGAACTCCAGTGGGCACTTGCAGAAGAGACACCGGCGCGACCCCTGCTGCTGTGACATCAGAGTCAGTCGATCCATAGGAATAACCCGCTCGCGCGAGAAGCCACTGCGTTGAATCAACTTGCGCAGCTTCTCTTCGTACGACTTTAGCGCCGCCTTCGACTGCTTTGTCATGACGAGCTGCAAACTTCCACGTGAAATGTACTCCGTACAGAAGTTCATCTCGGAACGGCATCCATATACCACCTCGATGCGGACACAGAACGTCCGCGTCGCCTGTTCACTCTCACCACTACAATCTGTCGCTTCACCACCGTTTTTCTTAGCCTCTGGTCCGAGACTGTCTGTGCCATGTGAAGCAATGGGCTGCCGCAACATGTATTCAGCGAAGTTAAGGGACAGAACTCTATACAAGGCAATATTGCTGAGCAAAAAGTTATTCAGAAACCCAATGAGGACAATCGGAACACACACCCAGTTGCTGAACGCCTCGCTTGCATCAATGGTGGCGGTGCAGTTGAGAAGACTTCTGGATGTTGGATAGTGATCCGGCACAAGCTCGTCGTCCACAAAGACCTTGATACCGATGAGGGTATCGTGATAAGGCTTGTCAAAGATGGTTTCTACTATATCCCTTTGGCGCCCTGACAACCCCTCCACCTGCGCGTCGGATCTCGACACGGTGTTCATATTCGCTCCCTCAGCCACTGCGCTCTGCGACTGTCGCCTTTGTTCCTGCTCCTGCTCCTGCTCCCGCCCCTGCTGCTGCTGCTGAACGGGTCGGGATGCGATCATTTTATTGTAGTGGGTCACCCGCGAGCGCCATTGGTGCTCCGTGAAGAGCGGCGTGTTGTACAGGTATGCCATACCGTACACCAGGTCCTTCCCGATCTCCAGTGTTGTGTACAGTGGTGGGGCGTGCCCAGGGAGTGCGTCCAACTCGCTGGCCCCAATGGGAATGAATGCGTTGGAGAACACCACATGACCGCGCTGCCTCATGTGGAACTCCGTGAAGGACATCCGGGTGGTCTCCGT